ACTTTCTAGAATTTACCCCCTAGACGACGGTACGGACGGATACTAGGGTCGTGCACGCTAGGTCGATTATACGTAATCGGGAAGAAGCTAGATGTGGGATACGGTTCCCACATTCATGCCCGACGCGAAGCTAGTGCGAAGGAATAAGTATTAAGGCTCACCAGGTGTAACCCTCATCCGAGGAGCGCCTCGAGATGGGAGTTAACCTGGGGCATCGTCTAGGTCGAGAGAGGGGCGCCTCTACTCGGCATGGACGGTCCTGAGTAATGGGATGGAGGGCGAAGGGAGTTACTGTTCCACAGGAGCACCTGTAGGAACACGTACAGCTCCTTCTAGGAAGTGAGGTAGGCTCTGATGTTCTGAGAGGAGCGCCTCTACAGTGCACCAGGTAGCCAGGAGTGAGTCCCTTCCAATAGTCAGAGGAGCACCTCTAGGCGAGTCGGAAGAAGACTGATGAAAAAGGTGCGAGACGAAAGGTATATCACTAGCAGCTAGGTGACAGCGAGTGGTGGGGGAAGAGAGTGACACTACTACTTACGCTGTCTACTTTCTCTCTTTTCGCCGGCCGACTATACTACGATACTCTATCGTTACAATTATTTTGATTGAATTAGCTAAGACTGAAGTGTGAACGTGTTTATAACCTCAAAACAATTTTGCGTTGTTTAGACGGTGAAATTGATGAAGAATCGTTTTACTTACTGGACAATGATACAATATCACTCATAAAACCAGAACCTCGCTTAAAATTTTTTAAAAAATTTCAAGATTACAAAAATCAAGTAAGTTTTTTTTCGTTTGTATAAATGTACATGTGTTTATTGAAAATTTTTTTTGGAAAAAAAACTTTTTCATATTTTTTCTTATTTTTTTTAAACTTAAAAATTAGTAAAATAATACAAATTCAATTGACTCTGTGAAAAAAATGTACCGTTTGATAAATATATTTATGTTTAAGCAAGTCCTTTTTATAGACGGAGTGAAAAAATAGACATACTCTTTTTTATGTAAAAAGTTTAAAGTTTAAATTCTTATCGAAATGTCTTATTAAAATAAAATGAAATTATTTAAGTTTACAAAAAAAGCGAGGTTAGGTTCGTGTATATTTGCCACTCGAGAACGTAAAGAGATCGTATAAAATTTTTAACATCAAAGATTGTAAATTGTACAATCAAATTTCTATAATCATCTGATAGTAAATACTACAATCTATATCGCTGTCTGTATATTTAGCACTAAATATGGTTGCCCTTAACATCATTATGTTACCCAGTAGCATAAATTTCTCTCCGTGTATGATTGGAAATAAAATCTTGCTCTTAAGCTACAAGTGATTTTATTGGTTTGCGGAAAACGGCGAGATAATTTAAAAATGGATTTTTTGTTTTGACAGTATATAACCAAACAAAAATTATTAAAATTGCTTAAGAGCAAGATTTTTTTTCCAATCATAGTTGCCTTTAATTAATTAATTTAAATATTCAATCAAGGTACGAGCTGAACTTTTAACGAATATTTAATTTAAAGCTTCACTCAAGGTTATATAAAATATTTCAATATATATATATATATATATATATATATATATATATATATATATATATGATGGAATGAAAAATCAAAGAATAGAAGAAAATATATATATATATATATATATTTCAAAGAGACTATATAAAAAAGCATACGAATCAAGGGAAAGACCACGACAACGACAACGAAGTTATACGGATCGTCGGGCGTCGCGATATGGTACCTACACTCTCCAGACTCGATCGAGCTTGAAATCATTTTATCTCGGACAAAAGCTCCCCGCTGCTCGTCAAGAACAGAGGCTTGTGTATTTGGCGATACAGCCGTGAAAAGCTCTGAAACGCTTCTTAAATGGAGAAAAAGAGGGTGAGGGAAAGAGAGAGAGAGAGAGCGCGCAATCTAGGCCGTATGATCATAACCCTAAGTTTCATTATTAAATACATTTTGAGATTCAAAGCATGTCGCATTTATTTTAAAAAAAATAATTTTCCATATATTATTATAAATTACTAATGTTTTTGTTGTAACATACAAGTCGTTTAGATTAATAACTAGGCATTAACCTAAACGCTCAAAGCGCGTCAGGCGAATAGAAATATCAAATATCTTATTATAAATCAGAATAAAAGACAGCAAATATTTTTCTCAAAACTGCAGTAATAATTTATTGTTATTAATTATAGTCAAATATGCACAAAAATATATGTAAGTCAGTCGGTAAAAAATAATAAAATTACTTATTACAGCACGATAAACTTTGGTGACATTGTGAACTACAAGTTAATTTTTATTTGAAACATGAACACCTATTGAAGCAACATTATTCACTCCTTCTTATAATGCCACCTCTAGTTCCGATTTGATACACGCCATTTTTAATATCAGTTACGACGCCAATAATTGTTCCAAAATCTAATGGACCACGATCTACACCAGTAACTGACAAAGTGACGCAAGCACCAATTAGTAAGGGAGGAAATTGTATGTCAGAAAAGGTTTTCATTTTGTCAGCTGCAATTTTTTATCGGTTATAACAGTCTTGTTGATGGTTGAGTAAATTTTTCCCTCGAACACAAAAAGAACATATAAGATTACTGTCAGTATCTAAATCTAGAGTCCCGCAATCAATGTGGATACGTAAATTACATTTCGTACAATTCATGCTATCATTACAATTTAATTGCAAATCGCACGTTCCGCAAAGATTTGTTTTGTTCAAATTTGAAGAAATTTCCCGCCCATGATCAATTAATCGACACACTTTAAATTTAGAAAAAAAATCATTTTTTAAATAAAATCTATTATTTATATAATTTAATCAATCCTTTCTTTAACAAAAAAAAATATATATAAAATTACAAAAAGAAAACTATCTTTGAGTCTTCAGCGTCGGACATCAAAAAATAGCACGAGATTTTCTTTTATAGAAAATAATGACGAGCGAATGAGGCAGAGAACAAGGAAACCACCAATTTTATAATTTCCTACAAATCTCTCCCCCCCACGTCAGTCCACGATTCATCGAATTACACCTCGGTTTCGGCGAAATATCACACTGAAAAAATTTCCTAACACCCGTATACCAGGAATTGACTAATTTGCCTGGTTACGAGAGGAACCGTTCCACTAGGCAATCTTGCGTCAAAGTTGATTTCGACAATTAGTCGGAATGACTAGGGAAGCTTATCAGAATAACCAAGTATCTTACAAGTTAACCTACGGAAGTGAGAATCTCCGATTTTAATGAAACTTGGTATGAATGTAGTACTCGGAAAAATAAGAGTCCCGTATTTTTTTATATCTGCCATGATCCACTTTAAAGGGTAGAAATCACCCCTTGAAGTTATAGGGGTGTAATGTCATAATTAGAGCTTGTGGTCAAACTATTACTAGTAGCTAAATAGTGAATACCGCAATGAAAACATTAGAAATACGGTTAATTTTCCATAGAAAAATATTTAATAAATTCAATTGTTTAAACAATTACTTGAGATCAACAAAAATCTTGAAATCTAATAACGCCATTCGATTCTATGGAAAAAATTAAGACGAAACTGTGCCTTGCAAAAATTTTTTAAAATTTCAGTTTACATAAAAAAATTAAATAAACAATTTTATAACTAATAAGAACTTCGCTCTCTAAATTTGAATCAGCTAAAATCCGCTGATTGGCAGCGAATAGTCGCTGATTGAAAAAGCTATAAGTATGCAGCTGTGAATCAGCGACTAACAACTATTTCAATCAGCGGAATACTCCATTTTAAAAATAAATTTATCTTCCGGTGAAAATGATCGACGTTCGCCGATTCGTGTTTCGCTATTTTATTAGCTGTATCCGCTGATTTGCAGTGAAAACTTTATTCGCTGATTCAAACAGTGAAATTTTAGCTAATTCAAATTTAGAGAGCGCTTCGATAAGAAGATAAGAATCAAATGGCGTTATTAGATTTCAAGATTTTTGTTGATCTCAAGTAATTGTTTAAACAATTGAATTTATTAAATATTTTTCTATAAAAAATTAACTGTATTTCTAATGTTTTCATTGCGGTATTCACTGTTTAGCTACAAGTAATAGTTTGACCACAAGCTCTAATTATGACATTAAACCCCTATAACTTCAAGGGGTGATTTCTACCCTTTAAAGTGGATCATGGCAGATATAAAAAAATACGGGTCTCTTATTTTCCGAGTACCACATTCATACCAAGTTTCATTAAAATCGAAGATTCTCGCTTCCGTATAGGTTTACTTGTTAGTTACATTGGCTATAATCACTTTGACTAATTAAACTTTAGCAAAATTGCCTATAGATACATGCGATATTAACCAAACACCTTAGTTAATATAACTAGGAAACAAGGGGTCAATTCTACTAAATCGACTTTGACAATATTAACCAAGCTACATAACTGAATTGACTCGGATGCTTGGTTAGGCTGACTAGATTTAAACTTGCTATGGTTAATAGTCATTAATGCGAAGCAAATTTTTTTCAGTGCATGAAATTAGATATGTACAAGAAGACATCAACCGTTAGGCGCTTATTCTTTTCATAATCGAAAATTTCCTCACATTGTTGTAATTGTTATAAACTAATAAATTGTTAATTAAAATTAAAATTAGTAAAATTTTTAATAATTCTAATGTTATATGCATAATTATCCCGCGTTTACTCATAAATATAATTTACACCTGTAAAATAGACATTGTATAATTTAAACTATATATGATAAACATTGAATATTATCCCAAAGACAATATTTATTTAATTAAAATAATTAAATGTCTATACTTAATTAATTTCATTATACATGTTTTATATTATTTCTGTTTAACTGGGGCGGTAATAATGCATTTATGTTTTGAATTTTAATATATAATTAAAATAATAATGTTAATAAAAATAGTAATTAATTATAATTATACTGTTAGTATTGATTTAAAAAAAATTGTATTTTTTTTTATTACAGAAATATGTTAGCGAGGGGTCCATGGTTCGAGATTGCGTGCCATCGTGTTCTGAAAAGGGTAAGTTTTATTTATATTTTTATTTTCTATTTTTGTTTTTATTTCTTTTATGCTCAGATAAGGGCTATATTTTATTTATATTTATTTTCCTGTGTTATTTATTATTATGTTTGTTTTTATTTATTTAATAATTTTTTTTTAAATTAACATCACTTCTTTGCTTTTTTTTAAATTTCTCTTGTTATATTGTCTATTATTATTATTTGTCTATTTTTTGAAATATAACTAATTTAAAATTTATACGTAATCTATTTAAAAATTATGCTTAATTTTTAAATAGATTACATATAAATTTTAAAATTAATTTCCAGTATAATGAAAAATAATGCACAATTTTTCGTCTTAGGTAAAAGCAAATATTTAGTCAGATTTTCTAACTTTTTGTAATTGTATTAGTAGATCAAAGCGATTTTAGTCAGACGTAATGATTACTTTAAATTAGTAAATGAGTAAGTCAATATTTATTTTAGAGCTTTTAAATTTTTTTAATAACTTTATCAGTACACTGTTAAAAAAATCTGTATTAGATTTAATAGACATGCGTATGAAGCTAATATGCACTACAGGTATTGAAATCTATAAGATACATGTATATTAAATTTAATGTGCCAACATGGCGGCTGTAGATACCTATTTCACCAAACGGTCATTATTTCCTTGATATTGAAAATTTATTTAAAATTGAAATAACAGTGCTTAATTCTTTAATTAATATGTTGTTCGTGTCAAACAAATAATGTTTCATGAGGTAAATTTTTTCAAAAAATCATTCTAAATATCAGAATTTTAATGCTCATATGTGACATTTAGGTTAAGTACTCTAAATGTCGAATTATATGCATTTTGACAATGCAAATTGATTTAAACTTAAATTTATATGAAAGAAATTATTTTGCTTTATTAACCCTTTCAGGGGCACATTATTCTAAGCATACAAATTTTTGTTTCATTATATTTTTAAAAAGTCGTCCGCCATATTGGATCCGCCATTTTGAATTTTGAAAAACTGACCTCAGATTCGTAATCAGGGACCCCAAAAACCCCCGAGTGAAGATTTTCAAAGTCGTAGCACTTCGCGTTTACAAATAGCTGAATTAATTATTAAAAAAATGCATATTTTTCAGATTGATGGAATAATATTAAGTTAACAATAATAAATTATTCATAAACAATATTATAGATTCGTTATATTATATCCTTAGAATCTAAAAATAAGAAATATATGATTATTATTAGATAAGTATGCCGGAAATACCAAAAATACAACAACAAAAAAGGTGGGACGTATACGTCCCACTGCCCCTGAAAGGGTTAATAAAAACTTATTTTGTACACAAGAACATGTATAAATTGAGTAAAATGCAATTTTTTAATTCTGATTCCTATAGGTAATGAAATTTAATATACTTTATATATAAATTCGCTTTAATATACGCAGTTTCTTAAATTTAAGTACTTTATGTATATTAAAACTACGAATATTTTTAACAGTGTAGAACAAGTTAGTTTTAATTAGACATAATAAATGAAGTATAAACACGATAGTATGAATAAGTTGTTAATCATTCTTTTAAAATTTTTTTTATTTTATCAGTAGGAAAGGTAAATAATTAGTCAGACTTTCAGAACGTTTGTAATTTTGTCAGTAGTACGAGTCAATATTTAAATTGAGTTTTTACATTTTTGTAATTTTATTAATAGTTTTGGGTTTAGTCAGACTTATTAACTAAAGTTAACAAATTTAGTCAGATTTTCTTAATTATTTTACTTGCATCAGTATAGTACAAGTCTGTTTTAGTCGAAAAAAATATAATTATATTGATATTCTTTGAATCTTGAATAATATCAATAATAAAATATAATAATTTAAAATGGACTATAATGGTTAATGTGAATTATATTTGCATTTTAAAGAGTATATAGAAATTGTATATAAGGGATTGTATTCGTATATTTTGAATCTCTGTGATCAACTTCAAAGAACATTTCACCGGTTTTGAGGTCGTAGTATAAGCCAGAACTTATACTTGTGAGATCTCAGAAACTGCAATCCCTCATTCTTTTTTTAACCGTTTCTTCGTGACTTTTTTCCCTTACCCTTATCGGACTCACATTTTATATATAACAACTCTTAAAGTACATTCACATGAAAAAAGATCTGTGCTTATTTTTGTTGCGTATTAAATTGAACCTATGTTAAAAAACTTGTAACGTGGTACTATACCTACAAAGATAATTTTTTCTGCACTTCAAAGTGCTATTTTTTTCTATATACTTTAAAGGGATAAACAAAATTTCATTTGAATAATAAAAATATTCTTGAAGAAAGTGGAAAATATTTTTGAAAAACCTAGTAGAAGAAAAAGGTCACCTAATTATTATTTTATAAAAAAAATTCTTTATTAAATAAAATAAAATATAAATGTACCTATATTTTATGTATGTGGAATTTCACACAGGGCGAAAAACATTTTTTTTTAATTCAGTAATGAAAAAAGTAATTTTTTCCAAATTCAAAAAAAATCTTGTCTTTCACCTAAAAAAAGTCAAATTTATTTTTCATTTTCATTTTATTTGGACAAAAATTATTTTTTTCAAAAATACATTTTACTAATCGAAAGGACGTCAAAAAAAACTGAAAACTGATATTGAAAAAAAAATATTATTATGCTAAAGGTACCCCAAAACTTTCACCTCATCCCACAAAAAAAATATTCTCCTTTTTACAAAGAATTACCATCCAAAAGAAGTACAAATTACTCAAGTTTGATCACGACTAGAGGAAATTTCTTTTCACCTTTTGATCACTTCGTCTGAAATTTCTCATCTAAAAGTTCGTTTTAAATTGAAATTATGTTCAATATAAACTCACTTAAAAAAATTCTTTGGTATAAAATTTTCTTACATTCATTCGAATTATTGAACAATAATTAAAATTTACAAAAATTAGTTTAGTTTAATAAAAAAAAATTTGCCTAGAATCCATCACAGTTAATTTTTGTTAGTTTTTTTTAGTTATTTTGTAAATTTTACCAATCTCTTTTTTTTAATTATTTTTATTTTCAATAATTTGAAGTATTATTCGTTTTCTGTAAATTTTTATAAAACTAGATAAGGTACATTGCGAATATTTATTCTAGTTCCTTACAAATTTAGCTGAAAACATAGCACATATATATACAAACAGGTTAATCCTTCATAAAGTTTCTGACAAGTCTGCTGGTGTATACCTTCAAGTTTTGATCAGAATAGTTAGGTATTTTGTTGGCTAAAATTATTATCAGGATCATGAAACTTATAAGAAAGATCGAAGAACATGTTTATTTGATGATATGGATTGAAAAATCTTTTGAATTTTTCGAAATTTAGTATGTAGGTATATTTTAAATTCAAATTAAAATTGAATATGAAATTGATTAATTATTATTTATTACAGAAATATATAGCAATTTATTTACAATAATAAATTTATTTTTGATGGTTCATTAAATTATTAATTTTTTACTTGTAATTTATTTATATTTTTTCACATGAAACTATACTTGAAAAAGTAGGTTTTGGAATTTCTGGCAGAATTGTACGAAATTTCCAGTTGGAATTTTCCATTAGAATTTATGCGGAAATTTTAGAGGGAGAGGAATCAAGAAATCGTTTAAAAAAAGGAATAGTTTATATACAAAAGAATATTTTAAATTGACATATAGAAATTAGTAAATTTTAATTGGTTAAACTTCAATTTTAGATTTAAATATAAAAAGATAATTTATTACGATATTTTAATTAAAAAAAAACTACAACAATTTTCATAAATTAATCACTAAGTATTTATACAGTACTAATAAAATATCTTGTTTTGATTTTACATTTATTGCTTTTAATAACATATGTATGTTGAATACAAATTTTGGTATAATGTTTCAAGAGTAAATATTTCATGACTTTGATAAGCAAGGTAGAACTAAGATGACTGTGAATTAAAGCAGAAACATTTAATAGGTTGAGGAATAATATATACACATAGACATGTTTAATTATTATTAGAATACTAGAAATTTTATGGAATGGATGAAAATCACATCATATATTATAATACATATATATTGTTATATAATAAATTACGTGTCAATTTCTTTACTTTATTAAATTTACATTAATTAATAATTTCAATAAAATTTTTTATTTTAAATAATCAATATTTTATTTGACAAAAGATTAAAAAAAAACATTTTGCTGAATTCAAATAAAATTTCTGGAAATATATTGATTTTTACTTGTTGAATTTATTTATTAGTTTACTTTGTCAAGAAATTCTTTTAAAAAACAAATAAATTTGAAAACAATAATTCTGCACGATTTTCAAGAATCAAAATATATAATAAACGTTTAACACTTTTAACTTTATTTCGGTTTTGCACTTCACATCATTCGCTTAGTAAATAATTTAAACAAGTTCTCGTTAAAAATATAAATGCGCTCATTGAAGCGTTAACTTCCAATATCCACAAAAGGGAAAATGTATACTAAATGCTCTATAATACACGTACAAATATTATATAGAAAAGTTTCTCCACGTAATTTGTCATGAACAGTTGTTGCTATGACGCGAAAAATCATGTAACAGCAAACAGTTTTGCCGTACGATGTAAAAACATAGTTAAGTCATATTTTTGACAAAAATAAGTTTTTGGTATCAATGGATTCGTAAGAAAAAACTGCGTCTGATTACGTTATTAAAAATTTTTTATTTTAATTATTTATTGCAAAAAATAGTTATTAAAAATCTACAAAACCCCAGAAAATGAAAGAATACTTGATAAAAACTCAGTTAACTCGAGTTGAGTAGTCCAAAAATCGTAGGAAGCGTTGAGATCGAGCATAAGATACGAAATAAAAACTTAGTTAACTCGACTTGAGTGTTTTCTCTTTCGAAAAGTGTCATGAGCCGGACACTGCATTTCGATGGGAGCAAGCGTAAGTCAACTTCGTTAAAGTTCGGATTT